AGATTCCCTTGCTGGATCTTCTAGCTCGATCTTTTCCAAATGTAAGCGAGCGATTTTAGCACTTCGACTATACGTACGTAAATAGAGGCAGTTGTCGAAGGTGCTAATTTTCGCCGACTTCGCTTTCAACTTCAACGACTAAAAAATCCACAAAAATTATTCCCTCAACCGAAGCCGTTTTGATATTCTAAAACTACGTGAAGTTTCCTATCAGATGATATCAAGCTTGCTAGCAAAACATTTCATCTTTGGAACGAAATTTCCGGTTGAAAAAAAACGAAAGTACTTATGTGCCAACCCAATACGTAAGGAAAAGGACCGCTCGCGACGAAAACACAGTCCCGGCATTGGCCCCTCGAACTTTCATTTTTAGCTGCTACCTCATGTGGGGTTATTGAGCTACCAACTCTCTCCATTTCGGGCGGAGAGTGAGGTGTTAGAAGACACATGTTACGATCACTCCTAACCTGGGTGTGCCTGACTATCACCCCCCCCCCCATCCCCACAGCTGTCGAAGCGTAGCGGTTTCCCCGTCCTAACATGCGCAGGAATGGAGATACAGGACCGTGAAACACGCTAATTCCTCCATGCTCCGCCCAATGCCTTGCGGCGCAGACTCCCGTTTATGCTAACAGCCGTTCCGCGCGGCGCGTGTCGCGGCGCTCTTGGCTTTGCCAAGTCCTGTAATTGCGCTTTGGAATACAAGTAAAACGCAATTTCCTGATGCGGATAACATTTGAGGTGTTGCTCATGCTGCAAAGTCCGAATAGAAGGTGATGAAGATGACAAAGGCTAGAAATGAAGAACAACGAATGTAGATGTAAATAAAACAAAAATGAAAAAATTAAGGAAATGCAAATTAATTAGAAATCGCGTGTAAATTTCTGCAATTCGGCGCGATTCCGGCTCCAAAGCCATAAAAATACTTTAACGAGTGGGACGCTTAGGCCGTTTTTATTTTCATGTTTTGTGGGAATGCGCGGCCGGGATATTGCAGAAGCAGCACAGTTGCTCTTGAGTTCTGGCCCTCGTCATCATCTTCGGTTCTTATTTTGCAGCACCTAAATGTTATCCGCATCAGGAAATTGCGTTTTACTTGTATTCCAAAGCGCAATTACAGGACTTGGCAAAGTGCCAAGAGCGCCGCGCGGAACGGCTGTTAGCATGAAACGGGAGTCTGCGCCGCAAGGACATTGGGCGGAGCATGGAGGAATTAGCGTGTTTCACGGTCCTGTATCTCCATTCCTGCGCATGTGCGCATGTCAGGACGAAGAAACCCAGAATTCACCATTTTAGACCTCGGGCGTGCTCTAAATTTTTATCAAAAATATTTTCAGATTATTTCAAACTGGGGAAGAATACGGCGGAGTGATTTCGACATCATAGACCTTGAAAGAAAGAAAGTCGAAGATAGTCAGAAAGTGATACCT